GTGGTTAAGAGGATCAACTGGCCACCAGGTAAGCATTGATGTCAAAATAACAAACAGAGAGACTAATGTAGGAATATTTTCCATGTTGAAGAAAAGCAAAGTTTATAATGGGAGAGGGAAAATGTTGCGTTGTTAGCCGCGTTAGCTCAGTCGATGTCTCCATCCAGGAAGCCACTAAAGCCAAACAGAACTCCAGTCCAGCTCCAGCTGCAGTGAGGATGAAAAAGGGAGAAATAACCGAACGTTAACGTAACAGGGAATAAAGCAAATTTGGTAATTCGCTTTTAACGTGTTCCAGATGCAAAAAGAAAAAGCTCTGATATAAACTTGTTTATTTATTTCTGCCAGGATGTTGGTGGTAATTTTTGTATTTTTATTACAATGTGTCATTATCAACACATAAGCATGCATTAGTTTTAAAACCAATAAACAAACTGACTTGTATAAATATATTTAGCCAAACACACCTGGCCCCTAAAAGCAACACTTACTTCCCTACCTGACCTTCTCTGACTCAACACTTGCTGGTCTCTCCACGCTTAATGCCACTCGACAGAGGTGCGCTGGTTAACGAATTCAACATATAAAGACAGGCGAATATTACACAAGCCTAGTTTATGAACTTTACCTAGTGCTAACATTAGCTAGCACAATATGCTACCGGGGATCACGGCAGACAAAATATGTGACTGTCGTCATAAGTTGAGTAAGATTTCTTCTTTGAAACAGGGTGGACACTTTAGAAGCTGCTAAACGGTGTAATTTTGTGAAGATTACTTACCATTCACATTCTGTGTCCCGTCACCGAAGCCCTGCAGTTCGGGACAGAGTTCTGAGATCTCAGGGAGTCATCCGCTTTAGTCAGCGCTAACCAATCGGAACACGTCTTACATCGCTCGTCCTTAAGCCCCGCCCAGAATGTTCATGTAAGCTTCGCCAAAGCAAATAAAGTTGTATAAGGAGGAAAACGAGTTCAACCAAAAAACAGAAGCTTCTAAATAAATAAATAAATAAATTAGACTCAACCAAAAAAATTAAAGTTTCAAACAAACATTAGTTATTTCAATTAAAAAAATCTCTTTAAAATTTCTTTTGTTTCTTAAAAAATTAATTTTATGATTAAAAAGTTTTTAAGATTTTTTTTGTTTGAATTTTTTTTTTGATTGAATAATTGTGAAACAAATCTAACTCCATAGAAGGGACCCTGCTCCGATTTTTTTGTCAAATCAGATTTTTTAGTTTTTTGTTGTTTTTTTTTTTCCC